ACGCGGTGGACTCAGGCGTGATGATTGCTCGGCCATCTGGCTCTCCGGTGTTGGCGTAAGACGACGCGGTAGCCTGTGCGTTCCCCAAGTGGCGATTTGCTTTGGCCAAGTTAAGCCTCAGCACCGAATATGGATAGGGTAAATCGTTGCACTTGTTAACGGATTGGGGGCCCGTGAACCATGACTCAAGTAACTCTCGGTTCACACGATTGTTACCTCTTGCGAGAATTTATACCTCATGAAATTTTAATGTGTGGCCGGGTCTCGTCCGCCCAGTGCACACAGAATCGAATCTTCTTCTCAGTCCAGGTACAATCAGATCCGCAAAAGTTGCCCTGATTGACGTACGTAAATCTACATTGGCAGGTAATGTTAGAATCTGCTTGTGCAGGCGAAACAGACCATCGAAAGTAAAAGGTAAATGGTAACTTCCTGATTATTGTACCCTAGACAGAAAGACGTAATGTAATTTGTTCCGGAAAATGCAGTGGTGCACGGCAAGCCGTACCCGGTAAAAAGGTTAAAAATGGTAACGTCGAAGGAAGTTTTGGGGAAGGGGGAGTATCGAAGACAGGTAAGCGATACGCAGAAGGCAGATTATGGCTTTCAGGGCGTTGCAACCACACGCTAGCACCTCCGAGGCGAGTACATTCTCGGTCACAATGAGCAGGCACACGCAAATCATTAACAGTCATAGTGTAAATGCGCACGCAAAGACGCCATGGATGGCCCCACCAAACTACAGCAAACAACGCTTACTTAAGTAAAATAAGTAGATAGTTTTGCATGGTTAACACAGTGGCGTTGCATCCTAGCCTTAACACCGCAGTTCTCGATTACTGTTAGTACTTTGAGCAGTCATTAAGATGCAACGGCTAAACTGCTCCGAATTGGACAGAGAAGGGGAGTCAACGTTCGAGTACGCGCTGCCGGCCTTTGAAGTAGCCGACTGGCTCGCCGTGTTATGTTAAGCACCACAAGGTCTGTGAGCACTGGGCGGACAGAACTTCAATATGAGAAAATGGGGCAGTAAAAGTCGAAACTTCAGATTTGCTCAACTACTTCAATTCACGGTTTTTTGGAATCTTTATGCCAGAAGATTCACTAATAATCTACAAATACGGGGGTATTAGACATAGTAAATGGGGGATTAAACGCGCACATTGAATAAAGGAAAATCCTCCAAGCAGTCACCTCAAACGAAACTTTAGGCTTCGAATGACATGGTTTGGCAGTTCAATTTTCCACTGACCTAGTCTACGCTTTAGGTAATTAGCTTTACATGCTCGGTTCCCATTTCCTCCAGCTGAAAATGATTAAACAGAGGACATTCGTTTTCAGATCGTGGCTTATTCGGCGGTGCCCGGCTACACCTTCACGATTGACGAGGTCGAAATTCCCGCACCAGGTGACAACCGCAAGAGCTTCGAGTTGCTTGATCTATGATCCTCTGCCCAGCAGTCAAATAACAAACGCAATGACCACCCGCCTCTATATTCTGTGTTGGGGTGGTGTTTGGAAAGAGTACGTAGTCGTACCGGAGAATGCGAGCAACCAAAGAGATCCACGTACAGCGCGCCAAATTGCTGAGTAATCATCACACAGTGGATGAACAACGGTGGGGAAATTACGGTCATTAATGACACGTGTGTGGACTAACAAGCAGCCATCACCATGAATACGACGTGGATGTTGTTCAGCGGAGAAAAAAACTTGATGGCACGGCAGCTGTTTCCTACAAGTGCTGCGCACCTTGTGTCCCCATCGCCGTGGCCTTCAACCCTTGCTGGGTTCGTGTCAGAAGCTAAAATGCGAAACCACTTAACTTCCTGATCTAACGAGCAGAGCTTGTTAATTCTTCTTTTTCTAAAGAGCGCCCCATTAAATGGAAAGCCTACTGACAGCGGTCAATTAAAATATCGACTTCTGTCACATGTTCAAATGTCAACTATAAACGAATTGTGCAAAAGCGACTGCCCTCGCCACCAAAATATCGAATCAATATTTATGCAGCGCCCAACTGACAAGAAGACGACGCAGATGAGCGTTGGCGACGGCGACGGCGACAGCGACAGCGACAAGAAAAACTACAATGGCCATTTTTGGCTCATTAGCCGTCATGAGGCAGCCATAGCCAAGTAGGGATGGTGCTACACCCGAGGCTCGAACCCGTAACAGATCGTCCAAACATCGACCCAATATTAAGGCTGCACAAGAAGGGAACGGTATAGCCTCAGGCAGATAACACAGAGGAGCACAGACTGCGCTTTTCAAAAGAAGTGCAGATAGGTGAACATACTGCTTTGTCGGAGTCTTTGCAGGCCTCCAGAATCTTCATAACGGTAAGACAGGCGTATTCGCGAATGAGTTCGCCCTGTGTCCGTATCAGTTCCTGCAGCACGCGAAGGGCCAGGGCCCGGGTGTCACCCTGAAGGAGAAAATAGAGAGGCAAATTTGGTCAACAAAGCGTACACAGAGTACATTCTGAACCTAAAGGAGTCTACATTTGCATTTCAAAAGACCTCGTATAGTGACTGGTTTATAAACAAATACTCATAAGGGTACTTTTACGCTTTCACCTGATTTATGAGAAAGCTATCCTCAGCCGATGGATACAACCCTTAATTACCCTCATAAAGAGTCAGTCCGAATATAACCAAATTAGGACATACGTTGATAAACGATCACCACAATAATTAACATTTCAGCTTTTTTAGTATCCCCAGAAATGTACTTCTAACTCGGAATAGATCAAAAATGTATAAGTGTGCACGGGAAGTTGGTATGATTATGTGTTCTAAAGTCAAAACTGGAGTATC